GGCCGTGGTATATGCTCCGCTTCGCGTCGGGCCGAACCACGCCCCTTAGCTGTGATATAATGAGCATATACCACGGCCTGTCGTGAGCTATTGCTTAAGTCTACTTATCAAAAATAATCTTGGCACTGACTGTACAGCTCTGTGCTTCATTAAAAGAAAACAATGAGATTGTGCGCCAACACGCTTAAATCCATCCCTGCAAGGGAACCATACACAGCTAAAACAGGAGGGTGTGTGCACATAAAGATGAGGCACAGAAGGAAGCAGAGAAGAAACTAAAACACAAAGAAGAAGCATTACAGACGTTGCTTTGTGAAAGTATGTGTGTGTAATGTGAGAGACTGCCATGATTTTATTGCATAACTATGAACTTTCACAGATGAGGAACTTCTCAAACAATTTCAACTCGCTGTGCTCCCAATCCGCAGAGCGAGCGCAGCTGTTTTACTCTTCTACCTTCCCAAACTTAGACAGATCCATTAGACACCCTTGAGAGCGGCTTTGTGCAGCGTGTGCATCAGACGAGCTGAAGCTGGCTGCTGTACATCACCATCGTCTCTTAAAACGCTGCCTGATGCAAAGCGATGCTGCTGTAACCATTCACTGATTCAATTTGAGGACCCCGTCTCCATGATGTCTCAGATACAGCTGCATCATTTCAAACAGGCAGCAGCTGGGGGGGGGGGTAATGATACATCTCTCTACCGCAAGCACCTCATACTGTAGTTACTCAAATGATTATTTAACTGTCCCCTCCTCCCTTAATTAATACTCTCATACTGTTTTCTCACATTGTTCAACACACAGCAAAACAACGTCCCACACACTAAATATTAAGGAGATATTAAGAAGCAAAATCAAGTTTGTGTTACGATTATTGTGTTATGTCACGTTTTGTATGTCTTGTTTTGGGTGTTTTGCTGTTCTCCCTGTCATGTTTTCCTCTTGGTATATTGTCTGGTCCTTTTCCCTGTGTTGTTTCCTCCTGTCGTTAGTTTCCCTGGTGTGTCTAGTTGTCTGATGGTGTTCACCTGTGGCCCTTCGTCTTGTGATTACCCCTCCCTGTATTTAGTCTAGTCTCTTCCTGTGTTCAGTGTTGGTTCGTCTTTTGTTTGTGACTGAGTTCACCGGTGAGTGTTCTGTTTTGTCCAAGTTATTATTTTATCCTTGAAATAAAGGTAATATCAGTGTAATCTGCATTTGGGTCCTGCTTGCTTCACCCACCGTAACAGTTTGGACCTACTTTGGGCTTAATAATAAATGTGGGGGAGTTCAGAAGTGTGACTACAGTATGAAGCTTGCTAAGCATCAGTGGAGTATGCAGGTAGCTAATCCTATGACTCATCTGAAGAGACGTCACAGACTTGCTGTCAGACTGAGTCCTCATGTGTCCCTTCCTCACTTGCAGCTGACAGGAGCTCATGCTAATGGGAGAAAAACGTCACAATATTCCATCAAGCTGCGGCACTGAGAGCAAAATGAAAATCCTTTACTTAAGCGACTGAATATTTAAACGTATACAAACACTGTGTCTCTCACAAAGGGAAACAGACTGAGTTGCTCAAAAACTAATCACAGCTGTACACATTAGTTTATTTTTTAATTAAATCAGATTGACTGAATCACAATTAATTTAAGTGAGACAAGACTGACATATTCAAGACTGGAGGCGTGTGGCGCAGTGGGTTAGTGCACTGATCTTCGAATCAGAGAATAGCAAGTTCGAGTCCCACTGCAGTCAGCATGTCGTTGTGTCCCTGGGAAAGACACTTCACCCCAAATTGCTCCTGTGGGGATTGTCCACAGTATTGAGTATGTAAGTCGCTTTGGATAAAAGCGTCTAACAAGTAACATGTAATAATTAATATGGCTGTTCTTTCTTTGTTGAATCTTGGGTCTAGACGGATTGCTGTAATCTAGTTTCCAGCCACCAGTGGCAGCAGTGAGCACAACCCAGCAGAGCAGCTCCATTCAGAGAGAGGAAGAAATGATACACCATCTTGGATTTGACATGGGTTGTTTTGATGCAATGATAAGAGCAAAAACGTAATGAGAGTAAAGTATGTGTTTGCTGCTTCAGGATCACTTCACATCAACACTGTTTCCAGGCAATTCAAACTATTTTAAAATAAGTGATATCCAGGCTTTTAAAACAACGTTTCAGGTGCCACAAAATCTACATTCCCACGCCCAAACACAGACAAATCTAGGAAAAGTACGGCTCATTTCTCACCTTTTCCGTCTGTGAAGTTGCGTATGCTGAGGATGTTGTTGGCGTCAGGGTAATGGTTCTGTTTGATGTAGGGGGTTTTCTCCGGGGTGTCCTGCAGCTGCATGGTCACTTCTTCCAGCTCCTTGTCCAGCTTTATATGTAGAAACATGGCTCAAGTAAGCTGCATGTTATCAGTCAAATATTACCCAAAGTTAAGTCTAAACTATGGACAACAAAATCCATCAACTACCTCTTTACATTTCAAACACAGCATAAAGAGTTAATTACTGCTGTCTGCTAAAGGCATAATAACTTGACTTGTCCTCCAAGAGCGTCTGAGTAGCCCATTTGCCTCAATCATAAACAAAAGCAATGACAACACCATTAATTCAAGTCTGATAGATCTGACAGGAAGCCAAGGTGATTATTTTTTCAAATGTCACTCAAAGTCAGTAAAAGCGAAAACATTTAAGAAATAATTAAGAGAGAAGGAAATGCGACCTCGTTCAGCAACCAGACAATCTAGTGAAGTGTTTCCGTTGAACACCAATCATCTTATTAAGAATTAACTAAATGATACTTGAAAAATGACCTGGCTACAGGAAAGCTAGATTAGTGTTTCATTTTCAAGTTGGGTAGAGCTAAATTCATTTATGTTTGCCCCTTCTCTTGTGGAACTCGTGCTTAGTGTCTTTAATTACATTTAAAATCTACCTCTTGGTTTTTATATTGCATTTAAAACTCTGACACCCTCTGCACCGTACCCCTGTGTTACCCCGTGAAGACAAATGGCAGAAAAAAGTTCAACATGGATGTGTAGTTAGCTCTCAGACCTCTGTTATCTTCATGCGGAGGCGGTGGTTGTCAGTCTGAAGGCCATCCAGGCGCGAGGTGTTGGCCTGGTTGACGCTGGTGACGGAGGTGGAGGTCTTGGAGTCTTCCTTCTTCTGATTCTGGGTGAACTGTAACCTCCGGTTCTGGGTGGCTGCGTCTGGGTTGGTCCTCATGGTGATGAACTGTTAGAAAAAAGGTATGGGTATCAGTCAAAGCTGCACTCTGGTATAAAATGACAGACTAAACAAGCTACACCAAACTGTTTATGCAGCATTTTTAGGATCCATGGAGTGTAAGAGTGTTGATTAATGCACAGTTAGCCACCGGTATATATATTCTTTATTTAACCAGCTCAAAGTCTCATTGAGATTAAAATCTCTTTTTCAAGAGCGACCTGGCCAAGAGGGCAGCATGAACAATATTACAACAAATAAACACAAAACAATACAGGCAGACGAATACAGCTGTCGTAAACACAAATGAAATGGTACATTAACCAGTCAATATGCAAATAAAATAAACTGTTCAGGGTATATGCAGGAATCCTGAAGTCAACTGTAATTCCTTTTAAGACCTTTTTTAAGACCCTTTCCATACATTTTAAGACCTCATCGCCACTTTGAGTTTTAACCGGTTACCTTGGCGACACACTTGACCTCACATTGACTATATACAGTATTGATTGTCCTTCCTCCTTATCTTCCAACCAATTGGACGCAAACTTGCATTTCCCCATAACGATGTTGTTTAACAACCGGCGTAAACGGACCTTCGTGCGCCATCAAGCAGTGAGCGTGCGATGTCCTGTTCAGATGACGTCAAATCCAACGGGATGCCATAAATAAACTACACAGATTCACACTACACACCTACGCAATGATTACATTCAGGCAGACTGTAGAATACAACCTCTTTGGACAATTTATATACTTATTGAAAACAAGCTACACAATGTAATACCTTGGAAAGTGCCGTTTAATACTTTTTAATAGCCTTAATTTTCGCTAAATTGATTTATCAACTTTTAATACTTTTTAAGACCCCGCGGACACCCTGCTGTTATACAACATAAAAAAACTGGCATTCATTCAACGACTTCAATGATGTGATGTAAGAGCAATCACATCAAACAATGGTTTCTTGTTCTCTGTCCTTCAAGATGGACTTGAATTCCCCCAAGGTGATTACATCTGACAGTTTCAGCTCCTTCTGTACATTATTCCAGGCAGAAGGGGCAGCAGATTTAACAGATGTTTTACCTAGTTCTGTTCTCACTTTAGGAACCAGCATCTGAATATTATCTTTGGAGCGCAGGCCATATTGTTTTTTTTTTACCAGTGCTCATACAAACACTGTCCTCGTTCATACTTAAATCTGACCTTTGGAACGAAGACCAGACAGAGCGTGATGGTGCTGCAGAAGATGATCACCAAGGCCACGATGCAGAACTGGACATTGGGCTGGTCCCTGGTCAGAAAGGACACAGCAGCACCGATGATGCACATGATGCCCACGTTGTAGACACTCATCCCGATGTATTTGCTGTCATTGAGAGCGGGGATGCTCACATTCCTGGTCTCCCATGCCAAGAAACAGCCAAACAACTGCGAGGGAAAGGAGAGAGGAATGACAAGTTGTTTTTAATAAAAGATGTTTGAGTAAAGGTTAAAGACATACCAGAGAAAAACTGAAGGCACTATTTGATTTTGGTTATAGAAAGTCTGAACTCATTTCTCCGGGGCAATGCACACACAGTTAGTCAACAGAGTTGGTCATCCTCACTGTTTGAAGCCGTTTTCTATCATTTTTCTTCTGCTAGCCTCAACATCAGGGGGTTTCAGGATCAAGCAGGATTTATTAAATCTCTTTGTTTCTTGTCTGTTCAGTGCTTTTCATTGTTCTTCATAAAACAGTGCAGGTTGTGAATAAATATCTTATTTGGCTTAGCTTTTCAAAGTATTTAAAACAAATCAAACACAAATGCACTTCATTAAGCATTTGAGCCTTAAAGATGATCTTTCTAAAGCAGCCCGTGGTTTTATGTTTGTTAAATGTTTATTTAGAGTGAACTGTTTGTTTGGTGGAACATTAGAGCAGCAGCATGCACGGCCTGCTGAATTATTCACTGTGTGTTAAAGTGGCCTGCCTGCTTATTTTAAAGTCTGAATGAGAGTTAGTGGAATGACAGGAGCAGCCATCAAGGATTAGTGGATCTCAGGTGTGTGAGTGTGTATACGGGAATGTGCTGGGTGATGTGCTCTGGTGTATATTCATATGTGGACCTGTGTGTGTGTGTGTGTGTGTGTGTGTGTGTGTGTGTGTGTGTGTGTGTGTGTGTGTGTGTGTGTGTGTGTGTGTGTGTGTGTGTGTGTGTGTGTGTGTGCGTAAAGCCTTAATGCTTCTTTTGCAGTGCTGTCTCTCTCTATGCCTCATACAGATGTGGGCTTGATACAAACTTTCCACTTTGTTATCATTCTAAATCAAATCCCCTTCTTCTTGCTACCACTCACCCCTTCCATCTCTCTTTCTGTAAGAGTTCTAGTAACATTTGTATTCATCCTTTGCACTCTCTGAATCTTCTCAAAATTATTTACTGCTCCGTCTCAATCCTTCGCCTCGCCGTAAATATGGTATGAAATTATTTCATTTCATGGACATTTTTTGTCTAGAGCCCTGTGTCTCATATCATAATCATAGTATGAGTACTGACTTTTTATTCGCAGTTTGTGGTTTTCGGCTAAATACATTAAATTGCAAATAGAAAGGTATCCATTTAGAAAGCTTATAAACAATGCGTTGCCATCCTAAATCCATACACAAACCACCTTCTAAGATATTTTTCAGATACCTAAACTAGCTAACACCCAAGCACTGAAATCGTGTTTGCTTGAATAACTTAATGTAACCATTACAGAGTTCAAGACCAAACATATTTAATAGGAAAAACAAAAGAGAGAATTTCTATATGAAAATTCTGAAAAATGTTATTTTTGTTTTACACATCATGCATGTTACCGGAGATAACTGACTGATTTACAAAGGGACACAGGATTAACAGCTGGAAAATGTATTTGTATTTGTACTGTGTTTTTAAATTAGATACTTAAGGTTTGTTATTGTTACACATTTCAGAAATAGTGTTATATTAAAAGGCATCAAGCTAATTTCAAGGCTCAGCAGATGCATTTGTAGGGTACATAAAACTTGTAGTGCATTTTTATGTGTATCCAAACTGTGAGTTGATGATGAACATTTTGTTTGCTCCTCTCACCATTAGCAGTCCCTTGTAGGCATAAACAATGCCCAGCCAAATGGACATGTGGGTGTTCTCACAGTGCTCCAAGAATGGACGGATGGCTATGTCTCGGCCTTGGGGGTCCGCCTGTCGACAACACAAACAGATAGAAAAGAGGATAATTGAGTATAACCTTCCAAAAATGACTTTAATTGTCTTTGGAAAGAAAAATAGACAGATGATCACATCATTTGGCGTAAGTGCCATGCAAACAGTGACAGCGAATCAGGCATATTCTCCTTTAGGAGCAATAAAAGCAACAGAGAAAACCAGCAGCTGAAAAGTACAAACCCCCAGTAGGTAAATGTTGGATATTAGTTTTCTCTTTGCAGGTGTTCTCATTTCACATTCAAAGACAGAAGGTACACATACTGTCCCCTGCTAGTCAGCATAAAGGGAGTCAGAGTCAGTCAAACACCCAGGTGTGTAATCAAACTCTGCCCCATCATGGCTTCTCCAAAGTCTCAAGTTAAATGAATCCATGCTGAGGACCCTAATGGGCACGACTAATCAAGCTTATTCATTAATGGGATTTACACCTCCATGGTTCTCTCTTCCACGTCATTTATCTGTCTCACTCCATCCTGGGCCTTCTCTGTGTTTCTTTAGCTTTCTTTTTATTTCCACTGGTCTTTCACAGCAGCTGATGACACATGTGACTTAGGGGGCAAATTAGCACCTGAGGTGGATATTAATAGGCTAAAACACGTCACCTCTACTCTCTCGGTTATGCAGAGCTTTAAAAAGCGCGTTGGTTTGCCTTACATGGATTCATGTTATATATCAACGCTGAGACACCTGGGGCAAGGCTGGGCATAATGCCATGCTGCTCACTAGGTGTGTGTGTGTGTGTGTGTGTGTGTGTGTGTGTGTGTGTGTGTGTGTGTGTGTGTGTGTGTGTGTGTGTGTGTGTGTGTGTGTGTGTGTGTGTGTGTGTGTCTTCAGGCTTACTTACAGTAAGAAATATCTAATGGCTCAGCAGATGGTACTTGTGTGTATGCGTGTAGAGGCATTGATAGTAGAGTGTTGGACTTGGATAAATTCAGTTCACAAGCAGAGTATTTTAAGGGAGAAAGCAGGATGAGGAGAGATGAAGAAAGAGAATATGAAATGTTAGCTTGTTTCAGCCGGTGCTTTCCAACAAATAATATGTTGATGCTCCTGTGCATTTACATATTTAACTTAGAGAATAAGCAGACATTGGGCACAAAATGGCCCCTTTTTACATGCAAATGAGCACCATTGCAAAAATACTTCAATTCACAAAGCCGAACATCAGTCACAAGCTACCACGGGATGCAGTTATTACTATATTCAGTCCAGACTTTTGAGTAATAATGCTAATTTCTCGTGCAGTCTAAAAGTGGACTTTGAAAACATTGACCGCCCTGATAGGCTAGGATAATAAATCCCAAATACGGGTTTCTCTGTCAAGTTTTGAGGAAAGATTTGTCTTTATCCGTGCCCATTGTAAACTTTCCCCACAGATTAGCAATCAGCCGCACAAAGGGGGCAAATTGTACTGAGCTGTAAAACTTTACAAGTGAATCAGACCTTCAGACAGGGCAGATAGCGGTCACAGTTCATGGCTCTATCAGTATTCACATTCCCTTCTTGGTGAATGCCCTCATAATTATTAAATATACACCTACAAACACACATCCCTCTAGGGGCTGAGAAGAATCCACCTCCACTCGTCATCTTGACCCCTATATTCTCCATTCAGCTCACATTAATGGAAATTGTAGCTATTCAAGCTTCCCTCTATGACCTTGATGGATTTAAATTAGTGGTTCTCTATAGAATGATCACTTTAAATGGGAAATTAGTGCTTTAAAAACTGCCCTGATTCATCCAACAGAAATGAACTAAAATGGGCCCAAACCGAATATTTTCTTGTTATCCTTGAAGTCTCATACTATAGTACAGTTTCTCTTTTTCTGCTTTGGAAAATGCATCTCACAGTGTTCGTCATCCTGCCTGCACTTGCCATTTCTCGCCTTCAACATTCCTCCCTCAAAGGATTATGTTCTGCAATCACACATCACACGTCGCTTGCAAAAAAAGACAGCGTAGCAGGCGGAACCCCCTACAACTCAGATCAACTTTTCCACCATCTGCCAAAGTCTCCACACAGCGACACATTAAAGAGCGAGGACTGCTTCGGTGGCAGCGAGTTCACACTGGCTCGTGTCACTCATATCTGGGAATTATCTGGGTGTTTGATTCTTGTTAACATGACGGTGAACGACTGCTGGGTTTCTGTTTTAAAAGCCAACAAGAAGCAGGAAACACAGCAAAGTGGGGCAGGGGATGACGCACAGACAAGCTTTTTTCTTCTTTTCTTTTCTTTTTTACAAGAAAACACAATTAGTTGACACACATGAGAGAAAGGAGTCTGAAACTCATGCATGGCCTTTTCATCGTGCAGTTAAAGGTACTCACTTCATGAAAAAATTATTTCCAACCTATTTTAAAACTTGGAGATGTCTTGGGACTGAGCAAAAGAAAATCATAAGTTATGCATAAGATGACCTGGTTTGGTCAAGTCTCTTGGCAGCAAGTGATACAGTTTTTTATTATTAAATGGAAACAATAAAGACGATTTTTCTGCTAGCTGCTGCCACTTTGGAATGTACAAGCTGAGGGGTAACATGGAAGATGAAGCCCCCAAAGGACCGGCCTCACTCCCTCCTTCATCTAAATATTTAAAGGAAAAAAAGCACTTTTTTTTTTAAACCTGGAACTCTGTATGCAATATTGCAGACTTGTTTTGGCTGTAAATGACTATGCAAGACGCTATACTCTGAATCTAAAGTAATTACATACAGTTATCTAATCTTGTACTGTATTAGGAAGGCAAACTAGTATTGAATAACATGCAGAATGATTATTATAGTCCTTAGGTGTATATACCACATTTCAGTATGACATGTTAATTGTATGTTTACATTTGCTTCCAAGAGAACAGCAGGGGTTCAGAACACCTCAGCTGTTTTCTACTGAACGGCTTTACGGCATCATCTGCATCGTCCTCATTTTTGTATGTTTCTGTTTCTTGGCTGATCAATCTGTTATGCGAACAACATCACTGCTCCGAGAACTCACACTTCACATCGCATCACAACACATCATTCTGTTCATTCAATATGAGAGACACATTCTGCATCAGTGCTCTTTGCATAGTCGCAGCTCCGAGCAAACTTGTGTCACTAACAACAAAATGATAAGACAAAATGAGATATAATGCTTATTAAGCTCGAGTCTCTATCGCAGCACAGCAGACAGGAGCTCTTGCTTTTCCGAAGGAAGCTGTCTGGGGAGTTGCCAGGCAACGGGGCTGAAGGCAGCAGGCGGCCCCAAAGCGGTGGGGATGGCGGGAAAAGTGGAGGTTCACTGTCATTTTTCACAGCATTAGCCCTCTAAAGGGATCACTCTGGGAGGGCGCAGGGCTGGAAGATTGTCTGTGGAGAGATGGAGCGAGATGTAGCGATGAAGGGAGTGGTGGAGGGAAGAGAGAGAAAAACATGGAGGATGGAACGGAGAGAAGGATCAAGAAGAATGGATGGAAAGATGGAAGATGAAATATGAGGAATAATGAAGGGATAGTAGTATAGATGGAAGGAAGGTATATAAATGAAGGCATGGAGAGGTAAACCAAACTGTACAGTCTATCCTGTTTCCCTCAAAGAGATTAGTAAAGAAAAGAAAGAATCCTGAAAGGACGAGATAACTGCAGAGAAGAGGGGAGGGGGAGTGGATACATCAGGAAGAGCTAGGGAAAGTTTGAGGTAAAGATTAGCAACAAACTGACTGTAAACTCCAACTGTCCATCGAATGTCTTTTTGTATTAGTATAGGGTTTCAGAGAAAAAATCCTTAAATGTCAAAATTGAAATGTCTTCTTCCTTCCTCTTCTTGATATTGCCTCCTTCTAATACTGCTACACTTCATGCAAGTATAAATACATATACATCTCCAAGTAACTCGGTAAATGGGTGGATAACGGCATCAACTCTGAGGCATGAGAGGCATCAGAATAATCAAATCAAAACGGTCGACAACGTCAATGTGTGTCTGTCAGGTTTGATTCTGGGACATAACCTTGAGGACAGGTTGAGGTGTAGTTACCAAACAAAACCTAATGTTCTCTTGAGCAAATATAACCGTTGTTTTCATTCTTAGAAGCATAAATATATGTGTGTTATAAAAAGTAATATACGATCTGTGCAACATTTTTATGGATATGGATCTCACTCTCATATGATGGCCTCTAGCCTGGGGAGAGAGACCAGGAAGTGAGGGAGGAAGTGGTGAGCTCCCTCATTGTCACCTGCAGCTACTTCCCACAGAGGTGTGTAAGTGCAGCATATGTCCCTGTGGGAAGGCTTGCACATTCTGTGAGCTCACATACGTATTGTGACTGGGATTGTTTGTGTGTCAGTGTGTTAACGTGTGTGTGTATAGATGAGCTATCAGGCAGACACTGACAGAAACAATCCATCACTCACCCTGGCAATTACAACAGAGGAGATTCCACCATGGTGAAAGAATGAGAGCGACAGATGAGGACGAAAGATACTGTAGGTATTTTGGCCGGAGCTTTGGACTCTGTGGCAGCGACTTATTTCACTGTAGTATTTCCCAAAAAAGGAGGAGACAAATGACTGTGATGAAAAATGACATAGGGAAAGCCCCTGAGAATATATATAGCAGAGGAAGAGAAATTGGAAATCACTGAGAAATAAGTACACAATATATTTGAGTCCGCGAGGAAGATCGTAAGAAGTTTTATCATAAAAACACTGCATCAAATGACCGTGCTGTGATTACACCAGGGATAGAATCATTTACATTTAAGTGCACTGACGCTTTTTGAAATCTCTCTCAGAACAGTAAGGAATGTCATATGTTGTTTTTTAAATAATGATGAGTCATTTTGATTTTCTGATCAGTGGTTGGTGCTGATTTGAAAGTCAGCGTGTGGCAGCACGATGCCCAGGGTATCAGCCCCGCCAACTGTTCTCCTGGCACAGAGACAGAGGAACACTGATGCTGTCTGATAAGGATATCATACAAACATAAACACATTATCCTGTGTGGCACCAACTGTTTTCATACATGCATTACAGAAATATGTTTAGCTATAGTCGTACGTCACTCTGAACCTCCCTCTGCTGTACGAGAATAATTACTTTTCTTCGTCAAAGGTTATGCTTGTGACAAATATCCTATCATGGAAACTCTTAAGTGACGAAAGGGGTTTAAGAAAGAGATCCTGAAAGTGTGATTTATAATTGAATCAGATGTTATTTTTGGTTGATAGTCTCAAGGACTAGGGAGTGAAGAAACTGTAGGTTGTTAGAGAATTATTAAAAGGATGGTAGTATTCAAAGGATGAATGAGGGGATGTAGAAAAGCCAGGATGATAGATTATGAGAGTGACAGGGGGAGAAAAACGCATCAAGAGCCCAGAGGGCAAAGAGATGGGAGGATGAAAGGCACCTTAGTGCCAAGGTAAATTGTAGGAAATCATTTGAAAAGCAGCGATTGTGAATGTTCACGAACCCTCTGTGAAATTCTGAATGGCAGTAATGGCCTTTAGACAAGCAGATAGGAGAAGTGCATCATGGTTGATTAGATCAGCTGGTTGGACAGGGAGGTCGCTGCCAGCGCTGCCAAAAAGGAGTTCATAAACATTTAGGAGACATGTTGTGGGCTCCACATGAAGTGACAACTGCTGCAGCCAGACCCCAGATGGCAACTTTAGCTTGGTGGCAACATTATATACAGCAGCTCTGATTGCTCTCATCCTAAGAAAAGCAATTTTAGTTTTTTTCCCCTAAATTATGCATATCATTTCCTGGAACTATAAATGTGATATTATCAAGAATATGGACCCAAGTTTCCCCTGAATTTCATATAAGTCTCTGTCTCGGTCCCTTATAGTTCGCTTGGACCCTTCTGTTGCACTGGCTGAAAGCAACAACGCTGTTGCCAAAATGTTGCTTTTTACTTTTAAAACATTGAAAGTTTATGCCAAAAATAAACTGTTAGCAAATGGACAGGGCAGTACAAGGTGCATTTGCCTTAAAGGGGACCTATCATGCAAAATGCACGTTTGTACGTCTTTTTTTTTACATGAATATGTGTCCCCGGTGTGTCAGGGAACTCACCAAGTGTCAGAAAACACAACCCTCTCTATTTTCCTCCGTACCCAAATCTCTAAAAGCGGGGCTGAAACGGATCTGATAGACTGATCCAGATTTGAAATTGTTCTGACATCAGAAACGGGGAGCTCCGCCTATATGGGCAACTCTCCACCTATCAGGGGAATGAGAGGTTTCCGTGGCATGGTAACAGCATGGTAACAGCATGGTAACATGACGCTCGTGCCTCGCCCCCCTGTCAGCTGCAGCTCATTTGCCACAGAATCAGCCCTTGCAAAAACAGGGCTGGAATACAGCAAATAGAGCGAAATGAGGCATGGCTAAAATGCATGATCTGTTTGTTATTTTGAAAAAAAAACTTCACAGACATGTTTTATATAGGTATGGCCCTACAATATATTATTCAAATATAGCATGA